GCAACCATTGTTCCCTGTTACCCCAAGAGGCACCCTGGCGAACAGAGCATCTCCGATCCCTTGCTGTGTCCCCCTAATGAATTTGTAGGCGGCCACAAGATCACCTGTCAGCCTTCTCTTGAGGAGGCTGAAGAGGTCCAGGTCCCTCAGTGTCTTCTCATAGGCCTTGTCCTGTAAGTCCGTAACTATTCACTCATTACTTTTTCAAACAAGAACCTTTGCTCCTCCTCCCATAGTGGCTCCTAATTTGGGGGAAAAATCTCTCCATAGGGGCCTCCAAAAATATGTGCCTCAAAACCATCCTCAAAATTCTCCTTTGCTCTGATGCCTGAACAAAACATGGCAAAAGATATGTAATGTGCTGAGAAGAAATCTGCCTATCAGATGTCAAATATTGTCCCAGTTTTCTTGATCTCCCTCATCTGTCTTCACCCATCTGTTACTTCTTGTCCTATACTTAAATTGTAGGTTCTTGGAAGCAGGGATGTCAAGTTGTTCTCTCCTTGAACAGTGCTTAATGCATTAGGGTTCTGGGCCTTTACTATGACTCTGAAGTTCTCCAGCAATATTAATATTGCTAATAATAGCTCTCTGACATGTTGTATAATGCATTTGTTAATTAGTATTATACTTTTAATTCACCATTTGCTGTTAAATTACCATCCTTGATGTTGTATGGAACTCTTTAAAGACAGACTCTTGGATCCAGTTGGGTTCACATTTACCTCAGTGGCTCTGCACAAGTACAGAAATTTAGCCAGGTGAAATCCAGATGGAATTGAGACCCAGGAGTATATAGTACTGTAGGAGATGTTACTGTGACATTCAGCTGAGGAAGGATTTGATAGAAACAAGAGTTGTGGAGGAGGGAGGGAATCTTGCAGGAATGGAAGAGGCTGCTAGTAGACTAGCTGCTTAGTAGTCTTGTTACTTAGTGGCAAAGCTCCCAAGAATCCTAGGAGGAAAGCTTTTTGGTGATTCCTTTATTGGACCAACTGTATAGCTGAGAGAGATGTAAGCTAAGTCTCTGTGCTCCAAAACTTGTCTAACATCTCTCTAAATTATACATGTGGTCTAATAAAGGATTACACCAAAAAAATCTTGCTTCTCACATGTTTCCTGGACTGTCATAGCTACAGCAACATCTCAGCCCTACCCAACAATTCTAGACAAGAAGCCTCCCCACCTCACCTACCAAATGAAACAATTAATTAATTAATGCCAGTGAATATGTTATAAATGGCATGAAGAAAATCAGTGGGACAGTTTTTGACCTTAGTTACCCTAATGCAAATTCAGTGTGTTTCTGAGTAGAATTACTCTGGATCCACACTTGTGTAACAGAAATCACAAATTATCTTTGTGTCAAAGAATCTAGAGAGAAGTACAGATAGAGAATTATTGTGCATGTGCCTCATTGCATTATTATTCATATTTTTCTTTACAATGTTAAACACAGTGTAAATACATAATGTAATCCCTGCAGAATGTTTACTGCTAGCAGCATCAAAAACAAAGAGGAGTATCCATAGCTAATGTGAATATAATTAATTTGCCTTCGGGTCTCATTGAAATCTGTAGACTATACATGTTAATAATGAATAGTGAAAGGCTTCACTATAGACATAGAAGCCAACATTTCCCTAAAATGTATGCAAAAATAATCCATGCTTAGGCATAAAAAAAACCTGATTTGACTTTCAGAGGTAGTAAGCATTTAGTGGTACAACTCCCATTGTGGGCAATAACAACTTCTGTGCAAGGTCTGATTCTACAGAAGCTTCAGAAATTAGTTTCTAGTTAATTGAATACATAAAAATACTACTACTCATGCAGAGGCCTCTGTATCATTTATTTTTATATTCAGTCAAGGCAATGTACTACATTTCCAACTACTCAGTTTTGAATGCACCATATATTTTTGGAATGACAATGCATAACTCCATCACAGGTTTTATAAGAGAAAAGCTGAAAGTATTGGCAGCTGGAATTTAGGAGCCAAGAAGCTGCTTGAAACAACTACGTTAGCTGGATGTTTTGTTGAAATTATCAGCAGTGAACTAATTAACAAACAATCTTTAAATCTCCATCTTCACATTTCAATGCTGGTATCCATAGGGGAAAAAAATGAGCATTGATTATACGCAATTCACAGACTGAAGATGCTTTTCACAATCTTGATATCTAGCAATATATTTTTAATGACAGTAAAATTTCCATTGATTTCAATGGGGTCAGACTTTCACCCTAAATTTTTATTTCAGACTCAAGAATCAGTCACAAGTGGTATATGTAATTAGTCTTTTGCCATTATGATTTTGATTGCATCCAAAGTTCCAGTCATAGACAAAATTCTGTCAAGCCTGTCGGGTACTTTGGCCTAAAAAAAGGTCTCTGGATTAGGCCCATTATGCCTAGTTTAATGGTATAAATGTATATCAGTTTTACAGCATTTAATATACAACACTATTCTATTTAAAAATGATTTACCCAAATCTGAAAGCCTTCCTCATTTTGAAATAGCACTAAGTTAGTTACATGGAGACCTTACAATCACATTATTTTTCAATAACTTATTCTCATTGATCAGTCGAACAGTTTGACACGTTATTTATGAGCTACTGTGATGAATCACATCCGTTTCCAAGGTAAAGTAAGCAAATTCTCTGTTTATATAATTAAAGTTGAAGGTCAAACTTTGATTATGTTTTCGATTCTACTACAGCAATATAAAGCAAGGCCTTTAGACTTCAGAATTGGCAACCAGTCATATGAGATGCTTTTGCACTTAAAAATTGACCACAAATCTTGAGTAAATCATAATTAACATCCAAGAGACAGGAAACCTACCAGATGACTGCAGTAGAGTTGAAGAGGAAATTGATTTTATGTTTTGAATATATTTTTGTAGAAGTTTTTTCTTTGCAAAGAATGTTTATTTATTTTGAAGCAGTTTTCAGAAAAAAAGTTTATGATTGTTAAAGTGTCAAAATGAGAGCTGGGAAAACACTAACCTCCAATGCTTAGTATGTCATATGGTATTTATCTAACCCTCTGGCCCACTGCTGTTGAACTTCTGCGAGGGTAAATTTATCAGTAAGCCATTGGCAGGTGCAAGTGAAACTCACAGTGTCCAGAAATGTAGTGTATAAACAACATTTAACCCCTTTTTAGCAACATGCTATTAAATTATGAGATAAGATGCCTGGGCCATAGAAGTAAATGCAATCTTAAATTGTAAAAGATGTTGTTGAGCAGCATACTAACACAAATTAATTACCACAATACCTTCTACTCAAATCAGACCAGGATGTGCAAGCATAAATGGACAGAGGGAAAAAAATCCTATCTGTGTTAAAAGATAAATGTATGCCAATGAGAATTTCTCCCAATAAGTGAATTATTTAATGAAAGAAATGCAAAAATGCAGATTGTGAAATGCATGATTTCAGTGAGCTATGGGATGGTTGCTTAGGATGATTCTTGTCATGCGACACAATTGTTACATCTAGACTATGGGTACAGACCTTGCTTCATCAGCCATCTTTATAAATTCTCTACCAAATATGCTTTTTTGTCTTGGAAATAAATTATGAAACCCTTTGTTAACATGCATATTATTTTTGATAAGAAGTCATTTCAGAGCTTTGCAAGGACTAACTTGAAATATGACATTTTAGGTCAGACAAAGGGACATTGTGGGTGCTGTGTGGAAATATGTTGTTCTTTTCTTGTTCTACATCTCTCCTGTAGACAGGGCTGTCCCTAGAGGGTGGTGAATCGGGGCAACCGCCCTGGGCCCCACGCTTTGGGAGGCAGAGCTAGGTAGAGTGGTGGCTCCACTTCCAGCTGCTTGATACCCCTCCCCCTCCCCCACACTGCCACCGCCACTTCAAGTGTCAGTGGCAGCTTCTTCAGGTCCAGGGCCCCTGGGATCAGAGTTGGGGTGGGGCTTCGCGTGGGCTGATTTGCCCCGGGCCCTGCACCCTTCTCAGGTCGGCTTCGGCTATACCTGTAGACAGGAGCATAACCGTAAGGATTGCCTTCATTAGGATCCCCAACATACAGAAGAGGCATCCTAACACTTAGAAATAAGGGATCCCCCCTTGATACTATAGAAGGTTAGGAGCAGGATAAGGGGTGTAGTGGATGGGCTAGGAGAGAAATGGGCAATGCAAGGAGGTGCGCCCATTGCCTTTATTATAGGTCCAAAACTGGAAAGGCAATAAAGTTAGAAGTAACTGGTTTTGCTACAGGCTGAAAGCTACCTCTGTGACATAAATTAATGGCTTTAGTCAAGCTCCAAGTGGGAAGCACAAAGCTACCACCATGCCACAACATTTTAGCAATCTGTGCAATCTCAGAATGGATGACAAGTATTAAATGGGCCAAGGAAACTCCCTATGCCTGACAAAGGGTGTTTGTGCCTGAAAGCTTACAAAGAACTTTTTTCCAACTATTGGTTTAATAACAGATATCACATCTACCCAAAGAACTTTTGCTGCCAAGGAAACCGAAACATTTTCTGTCCTGTCTCTGAGTCAGGAATAAGGAACAAAGAGGCCTGTGAGGAAGCATGCAGGATTTATGTTACCAACATATAAATCTAGCTGCATTCCTCTGGGATAGATAACTTATAAACAAATATTGGCTAAAAATAACAGAACTACATATTGTACTTTTGGACCCAGCCCTGAGCAAAAGGTGGTATATAAAATACACCACACCAAGAATATCCCCAGGATGTGTTATGACTTAGGAATATGCACCTAATTTGAGACACAAGTCCCTCCCTCTCTATCCAGCTGAAAATTTCAACTTCCTTGTACAACAGGAGGTTTAACAGCATTAGTCAGTAGTTTGGGAGGATAAAATGAAGACTCCACCTTTTCATCTTCCCACATGTTCCTGCACACTTCTTTTTGTTGCCTCAGCCCAGAGTCTAATCAAAGAGTCATAGAGTTGGAAGGGATCTTTAACCCTGTATCATCCAGATCCGATGCTCATCCAGCTTCCTCTTGAAAACCTCCAGTGAAATTCTACTGTCTCCCTGAGCGGTCTGTTCCACTGCCTGACTCTTTTAACATCTTGAACATGGCTTTAAATGGAATTCTTAGTCCTCCTTATTCCCTGGCATAGATATATCGTTCAACTCACAATCTATTTTTTATTGAATTAAAATGTTAGCTTTCTTGGATGATCTTTATTTCTGAGTTGTAGCACCTGCACCAATTAAATTATTCTACCATTGATTTAATACATAAGAGCATTTGTCTTGTAAAGTAGGTCTTTAATTTTGAAGACTAATTCAGTTAAAATTAAATAGCGCTAATTAGGAACCTAGAGCTATAGCCATTACTCATATGAAAGCCATCATTGTGATTTCTGAGGAACTACTCATATGAGTAAACTGTCAGGAATGATTCAGAAAAAAAACACCTTTTTAAAGTTAGCCCCTGATAGTGCAAATGGCAGAAAGATCACTCGTGTATAAAGTTAAGTGCTTATATAATGGGTTGTAGGATGAAAACCTTAGCTAATATGTTTTTGCCTTTTATCTATTGCTATTAGCAAGAATTAAATGATCTAAAAGTTGTACAGTTTTATTATACATGGCAACTTTTGATCAACTAGGAAAGGCTCAGTATTGACATATTAAACAGCTAATTCCAGATGTACTTTTCTGTTTTGAGATGGTTAAACTTTTTTTGTTACTATGGAGATTATCTACTGAATGGTTTACTTACTGCCCCTAAGCTGTCATCGCATGCTGTTTAATTTATAAAGCTGGTCCAAACCTCTGCGAAAAAAAGTCACCAATATTTCTCACAACTTTTTTGATTTATTTTTTAGTGTCAGCCAAGACATAACATTTATTATGATTCATCTCAGCATGATGACATTTCATTTTTCTTGCTGAAGAAGATGTTCCTGAAAAAGGAGATCAACATCCCTTTAGCTTTCTGGATATCACATAATAAATGAGGGGGTCTGTTTTTCCTCACTGCCTCAATAGGAAGAAGTGTTTATGTTTCAGGACCAAGCCCCCACAGAATATTTACAAAATTTGTTGCGAGGTGTTGAACCATAAATCTAAAGTTTGAAACCTACATCAAATAGAAATAAAGCCCTATAAAACACACCGTGAAACAAAAACTCAGGACGGAAAAGTGTAAATATTTTCAAGAATTATTGAAATCCTTAAGTGTCTTCCCCATAAATAACACATAAAATTTATTTTATCAAATGGACTTTAGGGATGACATTCTAAATATTATAAATGAATTAAATATTTTCATTACAGTGTGCTAACAAAGAGAGACAAACATTCTAGGGTTGCTATAGGTAGCCAAGCAAACTCATTACAGCATTTCTAGGGAGAGACAGAAAGAGATTTAAAATAGAATCTGCTTTACATAGGAAATTATTATCAGGAGTTGAAGACGTAAAACTAAAGTAAGTTACTTTGTAATTTCATTATAGTAAACTAATATGAACCCACATTATTAAAGGAAAGCACCACAGCTGCTTTTATTACTCTGTCAACTGATCTTTTTATAAGTGACTTAGAACAAAAACTATATATATATATTTATATTCCTGAAAGCTGATGGAAAACAACCCACTCTTAGGGATGATAAAAAAACATAAATAGTCAGCTAATCTTTGATTATATAATTAGACTCTGGTTCCTCAGCCATCATTTAGATGGTAAATTTCATAATAATCTCACTATAACTGTCATTTAAACATTAAGAAAAATGAATCAAACTTTATCTCATGCCAAGATCTGCAAGCAATAGAGAAGATTTATGTTGTCTTTGCAAAAAGTATGAGAAGATTGTATCAGATTATTGTTTTTGTTTGAATATATGTATTTTCTATTATTATTTTTTTTGTATGTATATTACAGCAGCACCAAGCATCTCAGTCAGAATCAAGGTCCCCTATTACTAGACACTGTACACAAAAGTAGTCAGAGGCTTTTCCACTCACAATATGAGGTGTAGAAAAAAACAGGCTCTGGGAAAGGACAATTAAGTGAAAACATTTGATGCTGGTACTTTTGGTGGAGTAAAAGGTAAAAGGGGGAGGATGGAAAAGAGAAGAGTAAATAACCAAGGAAGATCAGGATTGTAAAGAACATTAAGACTAGAAGTTTGAACTTGGTACAGTGGAAAATGGTAGTTTGTAGGGGGAATCAAATAGTGGGGTGATGTGGTCAGAACTATGGGCAAGAAGAACAACATTACAGATTTCAGGCACATTAGCAGATACATTTTGCCTGGATTGGGGTGCAGGGCTTTTGGCTCCTGCTTGTGCTCCCTCAGCCTGATTCTTATTTATTCTAAAGCTCCTCTACACCATTCTGGCAGTAAATTATATTTATACTAAGTTTAAGGCCCAGTTCTACTGCCTGAGTTGTATAAAAGGGCCTTAGTGGAAATGAGAATTATGTCCCATATTAATTGCTTAGCCTGACACAGATACCTCATCCCCTTTCCACCAGTTAAAGTTACACTCACTTATGCACATCTACTAAAAGCCAGATGGCACATTCTTTTACTTCATCATTTAGACCCTCTAGTCCCTGTTTCTAGCCAACAGGCATCTAAACTGGATTTTACAAAATCTTTCAACTCAAATACTAAATTTTCCCCAGGAATGTTATTACCTTTGCACCTATCTACATTCTACATTTCTCCCAAGATCTCTGATAACAGTATAAATCACAGCTAAAGCTGAATGTAAATCTACTGCATTTTGAAAGCACAACAGGTAAAGTCAGGGACTGAATACAATCAAATCACAAGCGTTCAGAATACAAACCTCCAGAGGAAATAACAAAGACAGCCATGCCATTTTTGTAGTCAAATAAAAACATTAGTGCTGAAAAGGGAACAATTTCAGAGAACAAAAAGGTATCAAGATTAAAAATATACCTGCTTAAAGGGAACACTGTGTTTTGCCTAATGGTTGGTTTGGGGGGTGGGGGTTGTTATTGTTTTTGGTTTTTGTTTTTGGAAACCAAGAATTCCCTTTAATTGAAGCGGTCCAAGTTTCTGCAAAAAATCAACAAAAAGTGCAGGACCTGATTTTCTACAGTGGGTGGCTTGAGCAGTTATTTATCTGCATTGCTGTGACAATAGAGACCTAGTTTTGATTTACTGATGAGTGAATTACAAGCTGAAAAAAGCAGTGATCTCACTTGAGTGCACCACAACCTGCTGCCAAAACTGGAGAATACCTAAAATGTATTTTATTTACAAACAGGTCCCTCCATTTTTCCCAGCTACATTCCAAGTGAATGTCTGTGTCCTATTACCAAATATAATGTCACATTTCTAGTCATCTTTCAGTGTATCCAAAACTGAAACAAGTGGTGTAAATGTAGCAAGCAGTTCATATAAAGCTAACCTTACATGCAAAACTACAATCCAAGTATTAGAAAGTTATAATTGTCTGACTTGGACAACTACTAGGTTAAAACAGAACTGGAAAGTTGTCCTTAATGTTTGGCAAGTGATAGAGTATTTTATTTGTTATCAGCTAATTCATTAATTCAAAGTAACAATCAGCAGCCATGGTTTCTTTGCAAAGGCTCATGTTTGTGCTCCTTCTTTTTCAGTAGACAACCATACTGAAACATCATTACCATTAAGAGCCAAGACCTCCTGATAAGTTCAGGGGTGCAAGTAATGACCCATTGTGGCCCTTCCTATCACAGGCCCTGGCAACAATGTAGCTTTTCAAGAAATCTTGGAATCTTGGGCCAGGTACAGACATCATACATAAAAGGGTTCAAGTGTTTGGAACCTGGTCTAAATCTGTAACAGAAGAGAATTTTTGAGAATATAGACTGATTTAAAAATGGCGGCACCTGATCTAAAATAGACCTGGATGGATGTAATATCAGACTTAATCAGTTTAGATTACACTGGTCTGTCAAACTTCTGCACCAGTTCCCCTATTGATTCATGCTAGGTCACTGCCACTAGCATTCCAGAGGCCTTTGCAGCCTGCCCCACTCCCTCCCCTTTCATAGAGGCAGGGATCTCGGCTGGGCTGCTCTAGTCGAGCGCCTAGCTAGCCCTACCCCAGGACTTTAGCAGAGTTAAGGCAGCAAAGCCTCTGCTCCCCAGCCCTGCATCCTGCCTGCACTTGCCAGCAGCAGCACCAGAGGGGGGGTAGAGCCCCCCCCCCGCATGAACCCTTCCTAGCTGTGCTTGTTCCAACTTGGGGGGAGGGGCAGACCCAGGCTGTGGGGCAGGGGCATGCACTCTTCCCCATACCCCCCAGTGCTGGCCAGTTCAGCTAATAGCTGTGTGCAGCTCTGCCTGTTCCATCTCAGCTGAGCTGAACAGCGCCCACCCCCACCCCCCGCATGTGCTTGCCTGGGTCTGGGGCGGGCAGGGCTGGACTGGAGCAGGGGCCTGTACTCCTCTCCTCTCCCCCCACCCCCCAGTTATGCCCAGGTGGGCTGACAGCTCTGGGCAGCTCTCAGCTGCCCATATCAGCAGAGTCTTGCAGTGGCGGGAGGGGAAGGGGGGTTGGTAGTGGAGAACCTCACCCCATGGACCTGGCCCCAGCCCCCACAAACCCAAGTAAGGAGCGCTGGAGGGGGACTTCCATTCCCTCATCCACCCCCACCATTGTATGGCTCCACTGACATGGGCAGGCAGGAGCCAGAGCTGAGAGCCATGCGTGGCTGTCAGCTGAGCTGGGCAGCACTGGGGTGGGGGGCAGGGGATGAAAGGAACACAGGCCCCCAAGCTGTAGCCCAGCTCCAGTGCCCCAACCCCAAGCAAGCACAGCTGGGGGAGGGGGGCATCCCCAAGTACCCTGGCTGTAGCTGGTGGAGACATGGGGCTAGGAAGAGAGGCCACTCTGGGAGGCATGTAGGAGTGTCCCCTGCCTTCAGACCTTGGCCAGTTCAGGCACTTGCATGCCTTCCTCACTGAAAAGCAAACATGTATTCTGTTCACTCCTGATCCATTCTATGCAGCTTAGAGAAACCCACCTAGGTTGGATCGATTTTATCTTGGGCTTCTTAAATGTCTGTACCTAGCCCAGGAGTTCACTATTTGGACGATGGTCTTGTACCTTTCAGCTTAGCCCTGCCCAAGAGAAGTCCTTGGCTTGGCTTGGCTTGGCTAGCCTCTAAGACACAGGCAAGTCATGGACTAGTAAACATATTCAGAAGTGTGGAGCCACTGCTCTGTCCATTTCCTGCCCTCACTGATCTGGGCAGAGTAACAGTAGTCAGCAGCCATCCAATTCTGTGCCCCCAAAGTTCAGGTGTGGGGGATTCTGGCTGGGGAACTCATATCCATCTTCTGTCTCTGCAGAGATGATTAATCCACGTTACACATGTTGCTAATCCAGTATGACTGTAAATAAATGTCTCATTTGAGGCAAGTCCATGTTTGACTTGGACCTTTCCAACTTGCATTGCTGCTACTCTGCCAGTAGTTGGTAAGTGAGTGCACACAGCCTGGCCAACTTGTCCCTGGAACTAGCCGTAATAAACCTACAGATACACATGCCAGACCAAGGAAGAATTGTTAGCACATTTTATCCTTTGTACTTCAGAGACTTGAACCAGGACTATGGATGTATATATGTCTGTAGGATCCAGAGATATAAGGCTTTCAGGGCAAATGTGACATTTATAGCCTATGGACTTGATTATGATTTGTTGACACCTCTTTTACTCCAGTATAGCTACACTGACTTAGGTTTTTTCAGACTTACACCAGTGTAAATGAGAGCAGGGAGGTTTTTACCCCTTCATCTCCAAAGTCTGCCTCCTAAATTACAGCTGAGTGTACTGGCCAAGTAGTAGTGTGGGGAAGGTATACAGTAAGTTCCTGAGCTTGCTACACCTCTCCTGAGGATAAATAACTTCAGTTAGGGTTATCATTACCTCTCCTGAGTACTCAAATCATACCTGATTAAAAGACCCATGAAGTTCCATCAGGTAACAAGCCTGATCCCTAAAGCCCAGGCTCTCAACCTCTATTCTTCCACTCAACTTTTCTGATAGTAAATACTTAAGTTATTTGGGCTCTGATCCTGTATCACAAATAAAGGATAGTTAGCATTTACCTAGGTAATTTTCAGGTGTGATTCCATAGGTAGAGATGTGTATCAGTGATGACCAACCTTCTCAGTCTTGTACCCTCACCACTTAATACAAATAGAGTGCTAATGAATGGGATGTTGATATAGCAAACTGTTTGCTGAGATGGAGCCTATTTTCTCTCTTAAAATGCTGTGTGTATGTGTGTGAGAGAGAGACAGAGAGACTGAGACAAAGAGAGAGAGAAGGAGAGGAGAAGTTGCTGAGATAAACTGTGGTAAGAAAATAATCTGGCATTAATCAAAACTATATCCATTTTCATGGAAAAGAAACTATATGCATTTCTTATCTCCATTATTTCCTTTCTTTCCATGTTCTGCCTGTTTTCAGAAACATTTTGCAAGAAGAGAACATGGAGATCTAAGAGTGAGCAGAGAAGATAGGACACAAGACACAAAGTTACAAAAACTGGTGGGAAAATCAGTACTTGGTAAAAATTAATGCTGGTGCCTTCACAGTCTGTCTCTATTCTTTATTCTTATATCATTTTATCTTTCCATTCTCTGAAATCCCCACCCTATTTCTTTCCTCATTTCTCCTCTTTCCTCAGCCCCACCCTTTGCCATGTATTTTCTGGGTGAAGATTTTACCTAATACTATGATTTTCTGCATTGTGTTTAAGTGCAATAGTGAGGGATGATCTACAAATGGCATATAAGCAGACAAATAGACAGGGAAGCACATATTTAGAAGTTATGGTCTTTGAGGCAAAGACCAACTTTTTTTGTAAAGCGTCTTGTACCATGTGTTATGGTCCATGATTGGGACTACCACTACTTCCACCACTGCCACTACAATAATGATGATTAAAATAATGACTATTGAAAACGTGTAGTTCAAATTTAAGACATTCCCAATGTGTTTATAATAATCCACAACCTTGTTTTCATATCAGGCATGTCCTCATGATTGGTATAAATCATTGTAACTCTATTTTGAAGCCATGACAGCTTATATCAGCAGAATATCTACCCCATGTCTCTTTTTTTTGCATCAGCAAACAATTGTTCTTTTAAAACTGTTCTTTTTTTTTCCATTAGCTTAAATTGCAGGTATAAAAATTCAAGGACAGATGTTTAAAATAAAGCCTTATCATAGATCTTACATTTCAAAAACAAAGGCTGCCTGGACCTATGTGATTCATTGAACTATGCTGGCTAAGATGTGCC